CGATTCCAGAATCAAGGTTTTGAAATGCCGAGAAAAAGTTTTCGGATAAAATATTAAGTTGCTTTTGTAAAATGTCCCGTCGTTTCTCAAACTGGGACCCGCTTGTAAAATGCCTTTATTTCAAGATTGAAAAGAACTGATACCGGTTTTTGGAATTGGATACTTTTTAGAAATGTGCATAATACTTTATACTATGATTGACGTTTTCTTTAATAAGTAGGAATATATGTAAACAGAATAATGTAAACTACATTTAAAGCAAAAAAATGCAATTTTGTAACAATGAGATATATAAAATCTACATAAATAAAACAAATCCGGGATAGTTACACCAGTTATTACATTAGAACGAAATATTACCCAAACTTATTTTTTTTTTAATTGGATACCCTGTAGGTATAATATTTTTTTTACTTTATTTATCTTGTTATGAGCTTTCTAAAAATTATAATATATTCATAAAAAGGTGAAATAATATAGGCGGCTAGTTTAAATTGGGTAATCAAATCAATCAAATGATTTATTCGACGTCAAATGTTGGTTATTTGCTATTCCACGCTAGTCTCTGTGTATTTGAGATTATTGCACAAGTGGATCAAAAGTATCAGTGATTCTGATTGATAGCGTGGTATCTAAAATCAACAGAAGTTCATTTTCAGTGCAGTTTTAATTAAGATGAAGATTTATATAAGATGGAACCAAAATTATCTGGTTAAATTAAATTAAAGAATAATATTCGTTTAAACCAGATTGATTTATGTTAATAAGTTAAATAATGCATTTTTACCTTACTCATGAAAATAAGTATAGAGAATATTATACAGCGTGAGTCTTAAATAAGTGCAAATATTTTTAAGGGTAGTATATTTAGACCTCAGAAACACGATCATAATTTAGAAAACGTTAAACTTTTTTTTTGTTTTTAGTTAAAAAACATAATTTCTCGATAATATGGCAACATAGATAGTAGATTAAAGTTACAAGAAAGAAAACCCAGAAAAGATACAGTGGTTCTCAAAATTTAAGCAAAAAATATTTTCTTTTGAAAATTTTCAAAGTGTAATTTCTCGGTTATTTTGGACTTATTTGAAAAACGGTAAAGAGAAAATATGTTTCATTTATCGAGATCTACCAGCCCTGAAAATATTTGCATTTTTTTAAGACTCACTCTGTCTTTAAAAAGCTCATAACAAGACAAACAAGCTAAAGAGAAAATATACACGGTATCCCATTTAATAAAATGTTAAGTTTAAGTGATATTTTTTAAGACTTTAGCTTCATTCAGAACCTCGCAATTAGTGGAATAAATTAGTAGTTTCAATTACACTTTATACTTTTTAGTTTACGATCATTCACAAAAACACAATTAAAATTACTAGAATATCCTAGCAACAGCTTGTGTTGCCAGTCTGTTGTATCCATAGAGAAAGCCTAACATTAAGCTAAGCTAAATAACCTAATAATTTTCTAACCACAATTTCTCTTGACGGAAGGTAATAGTTAACACACCAAAATGACATTTGTCGCAAATGTTGAAGTATAATTAGGGGAAAAGTTAATAGTTTGATAACTTTTTCTACTAATGGAAAATGTCTACCACTAATTTTGACGTTCTGAATACTTACATTGAAATTAAAGAAACAAACTTCTACGCTAATTGAAACCACTAATTTATTCCACTATTTGCGAGGTTTTGAGTTATTAATTAGTAAAGTTATATTATTACAGTATATTTTGATAAAAAACCTCCCGACCATTTTATGATAATGTCCTAATAATTTATTATATTAATCAATGGCAAAAATAAATGACAGAGACAAATCAAGAAAATAAGCACGATGAAATTTAAAACACCGCATCAACTATGCCAACTTTGACTGTGCACTTTACCGATAAAGACCTTAAGAAATCGTAAATATTTTAGTGTGTACGAGACAGCAAACAAGCACAAATAAAATAAAAATGGAAACGATACGGGTCGGGTCAAAAGTGCAAGCCGCGGCGGTTTAAAATTTACTGCTCCCCGGTCTCATGAAAAATACATAAAAATATAAATATTCTCCTTTCCATAAATTCCATAACGTCCTCAGATTCATTTTATTGTGTAGCCGCTTCCCCGATCTCTTCCTCTTTTTACGAACAACATAAACTTTAGAGAATATTCATATTCAATATCGGAAGAAGAATGTTTCCGCTTGCGTCTAATAAAATATATCGATAGTTATATAGCGGTATACTGCTAAGAAAATATTTCATTATTTTCTAATAAAGTTATTATGTAATGGTTCTTAATACATAATAAATTTATAATTTATAGGAATAATATAATAATATGGAGGTTAGAGGTAAGAATTATCTTCGTGTATTGAAAAGTGGTCAGCAAAGCGGGAACGATTAAAATGGCGGTGCTGTAGTATGTGCGTTTGTTAGAATGGGTTGCAGACGATGATGATTTGATGATGTTGCAGTTGATCTTTGTGGATCTTCATGTTCTAATTAATTATTCTGTCTTGTCTGCTCTGTATTCGATGGAAAGCTGTTCTGCTAATTGAAACAAGTATTCTTTCCGTTGTATTTGTATTCCTGTCGTTTTTTAAACGATCCAAGCAAATATAAAATATTGTAAAATATTTGGAGAGGCTATCTACAAGATCTAACTTTTAGCTTTTAATGTATTCTGGCCATTTGATCCGCCACATCAACTCCAAATTGTATACAGTTATTTCAATACAGGGCCGAACTCATCACATAAGAAATTTACTCATTTCAATAATAACAGTCATTTGTTCATTTAAAATTAATTCATTAATATAGGTATAACACATATACATTTATATATGCAGAAAATGAAGAAGGGAAGAAATAACTACAATTATTATTAAACGCATTTATATGTCGTCCAAATAGTCACAAAATTCTAAGGAATTGTGTCGTTATATACATGTTTTTCTAATTGAAATTAAAAAACAGTCAAAATGACTTGCTTAGGCAATCTAGTTTTAAGAACGTAAAGAATTACTACAGTTTTTTGGAATTTATTAATTTTAGAAATGTGCATAATATTTTAAACCATGATTCACTTTTTCTTAAAAATGTAGGAATAAGCAAACAGAATCGGTGTTCATGGCACGTAACACAAAAAATATATTTTTTTTAAATTTCACATTTAATTTGACACTTTTCATAATCCTTAGATGTTTTTAAAGATGTTTCATTTCGTAACTAGTAATAAAATTTATAATTCCTATTTATTATTTAAAATATATATATATATATATATATATATATATATATATATATATATATATATATATATATATATATATATATATATTAATCAGCACAAATAATCAATTCATACTGAAGGTATAGTAGCAAGTGATTTTTAGTCATTTCTTAAAGTAATTAAATTTTTTCTGTTTTTAAACAAATCAGTAATATCTGTACTATTTCTTACTTGTTTTAAAAAATACAGTATATGAAAATTTCATGGGTATATTGATAAGTAATTATAAATACAATATGAATTATAAATATATTCACTTTCTATGACAACTCAAAAACATTTGTTTATTTGGGATATTCTGTACATTATGCAAATAATAATAAATTGTAGCTCTAGTAGCCCTTCAACAAAACACAATTTTTAAAAATCTAATAATTTAGCTACAACTGTCGGCGTCGAATAGATACAAATACACCCGGCATAATATACAATTCTAACCCAATTTCAAAAATTTCAAATAGTAAAGGTTACTTGCTGTACGTAAAAAAATACTGCCTCAAAATATGTGGCCGTTTTCGACCATTCCATCCGATTAAAATCATTTTTCTCCGCATGGAAAACCATTTTCCTCTTCCATTACTTTCTTTCTTCCTCTAGAATGGAGTACTATTTCCGAAATTGTTCGGAATACAAAACATGTCGAGGAAAACGCACGCCATAATGGCCGACTTAGCTACAAAGTCTTACGAGGGTTACTTACGTGGTATCATGAATCTTTATTCTTCTTTAAGTTAAGGTGTGATACATACAGCAAAGATTTCATGGAATTTGATTTAATTTAGCTAAAAACAACAAACATTTCAATAACGTGATTTTTACTACAAATCTTTACAAAATTTGAAATTGTCTGTAGTTTTATGGCAAGTTCACTTCTTGAAAAATGCTTGGGTATTTAGTTTATAAGCAAAAACAAAAAGAAAAACTATTTAGAATGCCTATACAGGGTTATTCACCCCATTCGACACGGAGTATTGTAGCCAAATGATAAGACTTTCAGAAATTATTGTGAGTGATGGCATTGTTGGAGGACCAATAACGCTACAATTTAAAATTATTTTCAAAAGGTACAGAGTGTCCCAAATAAATAAAAAATATCCAAGTTGATTTTTTTTTAATTGAAACACCCACCACAAAGGTATATCTTGTTTCCTTTTATGTCGAAGACGATAAATGTTGAACTGGCCTGGTATATAGGAATCTCATTCGTTACGGGATCTTATCGTTCCTGGCATGGATCGACGACATAACTCAGCAGCCTTATCGATAAGTTAAAGATATTTTTTATCCGTTCGCAGTCGATTTCCAATTTGAAACGACGAAAATGACCCTATTATATTAATCTCATGTACAAAATGCTGCAAAACATATCAGAATATCTCCGTTTCCCACAAGTTCTTCTACTACACACATAAATAAAATAATTAAATATAATTTGATGAAGTAAAAATTGAAAAAAAATAAGGAAAAAAATCCAAGATTTACTGTATAAACCAATACTTTGACAAAAACCTAACTAATTTAAACCTAACTAACTTTAAACTAATACATAAATAATTTCTATAGATCAACGTCCACGTGTCATTTATTAACATAACTGACAAACATTTGTCAAAATATATTGTGTAATTTAGAAAAAAATTTAGACATAAAACGCAGAATATTTTTTCTAAACTAAAATATTTTTATATATTTAGGAAATCTAAATTTTTAAATTTATATCTATAACTAGACTTACCTTGGATTTCCTCGAAGAGCCGCATGATGCAAAGCGTTGAATCCATTGTTGTTGGTCAATGTGATGTCCGCACTGTGATCCAGCAGCAATGTCAGCATATCGTCCCGTTTCTTGGAAATAGCATCATGAAGAGGAGTATCGCCTTCAAGATCCTGAAAGAGTTTAATTTAATTTATTTATTTTATTTATTTAATTCATATTATTAAAAATTTTATTTTAGACCTAATTATATAGATAAATTATTATTCTTCTTACAATGACATTCTCTTTACAGAGTATAGACAGCCTATCTTATGTAGTGTTAATATTTTGAGATATTATAATACTCATTAAAAAAGGTAGGGTTTTTGGTGAAGTTTTATTGTGTATTGCCAAAAATATTATACGATGTCAAATGTCACAGTTATTGGTATAAAACATATGAAGGGTACAGCGGAAAAGCATATTATGTTACATATTATGTAAAACTAACAACTAACAAAATAAACTTTCGAATTAAAATAAAACATATCAAAAAATTGTTAAACTTTTAAGCAATAAATCGTCCAATTATTTATTTCCGAAAGTTTTATTTCGCAGTCTGGAAACTTGTCCTAATTCGACAAAATAAATTAGCAGAATACCGCCGCCATTTGTACGTGTAGAACGGCCCTAAAACAGCGTCCATTAGTCAGCAACTATCGTTAATTTTACGAGACTATTAAGAGAATTAGATTTGTAAAATTTTACTGACATCCAGCAATAAAGCTAAAGGATAATGGCAAGGAAGCGATCAGTTCTAAACTTTCGTTTTTGTGTAGCGGAAAATCGGAAAAAAGTTTTGAAGAAAATAATGCCAAAGAGTCATAAAACGGCATAATTAGTGCAAAGTTAATCAAAAAAAAACTAGGGTAAGAAAAAAAAGATTCATAACAATACCAGATAATAATATGTAATAATATCAAAAAATATAGTATAAAATTTAAAATAAACAAATTAATTATTGCAAAATCTTTGTAATTTTATAAAATATTGCAAAACAGTGTTCTTCATCATTTAAACTATCATCTTTCTTATATTCCCTTGTTCTAAAATTAACCAAATACTCTATGTAAACTGTTACATGCATATGCACCAGAATAATAATAATCAGGTGCATTCAATCATTGAATATCTATCAAATGCATGCATACAATAGCTGATCGACTGTAACAACTACTATTATATCTTAAATATCTAGAAATATAATACCTACATCCAATTTATTAAAAATAGATCATATAATAATATATTTAAATTATACAATGTGATCTAAAAAAACGGTCAGCGATGGCGATGAAATAAATATCGCTTGTCATTTTATATGTAAATTTATATGTTAAAAGTCATCGACCGTCATTTGCCAGCCAACTGGACGCCGTTTTGTCATACGATAGTATTTATAATTTAATTATCACTAATATTTAAATAAAATACTTAATTATAACATATCTGTTAACATTGGATAAACAGATAAATGTATTTAAATAGATAATAGGGTTATAACAGATAATATCTGTCCATACTGTATAATTAAATTAATACTATCAGTATCAAAACTTTATCTGTATGTTAAGATAGCACTAATTAACTGTCATATATTACCAACAAAGAGATAACAAATAATTATCTATTACAGTTACAAACTAAAGCAATTTGTAATACAAGAATGTGTTCTTCGAAGGGAACAATACAAATATATTGAATAATACCAAGAGAAAAAAATTAAATGAATTTAATTACTTCAGTTGATTCTTGATAGAAATTCATAACAAGACTTATAAAGAAATAAAAAAATTGGCGCCGAGAGGCACGTATAGCCGCCCATACTAAAATATGTTAATATCTCGAAAACTGCGACTTTGACTGATTTTGATGTTATTACAAATTTTGTTGCAAATATTATTCCTAATCTTAATTTGAAAACCGCGTTTCGCTAGCTACTGTAATTTTGGAGTTACGATTTTTTAAAATGTTTAACCCCCTCCCATACCCCCTTACCAACCCCCCACCCCCACCAAAAACTAATGGCCAGATTCTCGGGTGCCACAGTATTTTTGTGCCAAATTTGGTTAAAATCGGTTCGGCGGTTTTTGAGTTATCGTGTTACAGACGGATAGACGGACAGACAGACAGACACCATGAAAATATTTTGTATTTAGGTCATTTATGACCCAAATAACTCATTTTGAGTAAAATTTAAAAAAAAATTTTTTGCCGATCTTAATAGCCTACCATACCTATTGGTATGGTCGGCTAAAAAGTGTTTTTAGCCGACCATACCATCTTTACTTTCGACCATATATTTTCAAAAACACCATTATGAAAAGATACTATTTGAAAAGTGAATTTTCAATTACAGTAGAATTACAAACACAATAAACACTATTTCACAGATGTGCTATTGAGGACTAAAACCAAGGCATCTTTTAATGATAAGATTGCTGTAAATCCTTAGTGTCTTCTGCAAAAGCAAACATCTCCAATAAAAATAAAACTATTGAGATAAACTAAAAAACAAAATATCGAGAAAACATAAACCTTAATGATTAAGTGGTTTTTAATTTCTTTACTTTGTTAAACCATTCGAACAAGATGTTTCCAACTTTCGCAAAAATAACAACATTTTGTTTTGATGACTATACATTTTTTAATTTTAAAAGAGCATTAACTTGATAATACATGAAAATTTTATGGTATCGGTCAATAAGTGTATAATAACTGCGTTATAAATAAATTTGATTAGATTCGCTTAGTTTTATGTCGTTACTTTGGATATTTGGTGTTTATATTCCTTTTATATTTATGAATACTGGTACACAGGCCAGTATCCACATTCTGAACAACGTTTTTTTACTTTTCCAATATTCCGCCTTCTTGTCGTTGAATTTTAGGAATTTGCCTCCACGACATCGTCTTATGAGGTATGTTAAAATAATTTCCTTTTGACATTGGAAATGCTGAAGAAATTCCATATAACTTTTTTAAAAAATAAACAATAAAAAATCCCTTTTAATGCAAACTTTGTGACACGTTCTGTATAAAAATATATACACAAATACTACAGTATTTAGCAAAACCATATATGATCTTAAAAATAATAACAATACAATTGACCAATTAAAAAAAGCTTAACCCCATTAATAGAGCTGATCGGCTTTAAAGTTCGCCGAGTAAGCAAAGCCGCAGCTAATAACACGTCATCAATTAGTTCGGATTAGGCCCCAACACAAACCAGACGCTCTTCGGTTAATACCTCGCCGAATCTATATATTACGCCGGTGGTGGGTGTCCCAGATATGACTAATCGCCATTGTATCACACAATTAACCAAAACTAACCGAATTAATCCGGGACGGGGCCCGCGGAAGACCCGGCCAACCCCAAAGCGATCTAATCGGCGTAATGGGTCGTAAACAACTCAGGAAAAAGAAGAAGGAGCGATTAAGTAAGGCGAAAAAACATAATCTAGCGAATTTCGAAAAATATCTTAAAGCTAAAGAGTGTCTTCAAAAAAAAAATAAAAACCAGAAAATATTAAAAACAATCATAAAAAACAGAATTAGAATTATGTATACAGGTTGTCCCAATATTCCATGGACATAGAACTATTACGTATTTTTGGAAACAAAATAGATTCACTGGATACAATTTATCTCTATACAAAAGTGCTTCGTCTGTCAGTTAGGTTAGGTTAGGTTAGGGTATCAAACTTTAAAAAAATAAACACATTTTTTCAGTTATTATAAGAACCGTTATTCCGATTTGAATGAGATTTTGGGTGTCTATGTTTTGCTAAGTACTTTAACATTTGCTAGTCACAAAAATAAAATAAAGAAAAAGTACGGGAAAGGTGAAAACTACCCCCACCCCTACAAAAATTTTAGTCTAAATATTTTCCAACCCCACCAACGACCAATTTTTCTTTTTCGTAAAATGGTCCTTCTAGTATTTATTACATTTTTTGTCTATTGTGAAAAACGCCACCGCGCATACTTTTTGAAAAAAAAACTTAATTTTCTGTAGCTGACTTCCAAAAAATATTTTCTGTCGCATCGAACTATTGAGGCGCATAAAATCTATTCTCTTAATAATCTAGTTGGCAAAAATATGGAATTTTATGATAATATCACAAATTATATTTCAAAAAGCCTTAAAAATAATAAATTTTAAACTAATTAACGTTCAGGTTTATTTTTTATGTATGTCCTCTATCAGATAGCCGAAGTTTAGTATAAAGGTAAATTATGTGCAATTAACTTATTTTGATTCAAAAAATACGTAGTTCTTCTATGCCCACGGAATATATAGAAATAGAATAATATCCATATTCTCCTTGTATATAGAATAGAATAGGAATTTGTATAGGAATAGAATCATATTCTCCTTGTATATTTCTTAAATCTGCTTTGGAAAACTAAATTCTCCAAAAAAAATTGTCAAAAACTATGCGATGTGGCATTTTTTACAAGAGGCAAAAAATGTAGTAAATATTAGAAGGACCATTTTATGGAAAGAAAATATGTCGTCGGTGAAATTGTAAATTATTGATATGAAAATTTCTATAGGGGTGGGGGTAGTGTTTACCATTCCCGTACATTATCTTGATTTTTGTGAAAGTCAAATGCTAAGGCACTTATTTGCACTTAGCAAAACATAGACACTCAAAATATCCTTTAAATCGGTGTAAAGGTTCTTAAAATATATGAAAAAATGTTTTTATTTTTTTAAAGTTTGATACTATCTAACGGACAAACGAAGCACTTTTGTATAGAGATAAATTGTGTCCAATGAACTTATTTTGTTTCCAAAAATACGTAGTACCTAGTTCTATGTTCGCGGAATATTGAGACACTCTGTATAAAGTAGAAGATTGGCAACAAGTATGAAAAAGTGTTTTGCACACTTGATTTCATCCCGGAAAGATAAACAAATCAGGCCAAACTAGGCTTGTAATTTTTTTGGAGTAAAATTCTAAAATTTTAATTACCATCAAGATTTATATTCACCCAGAGAATAAAACACGAACTTTTTATTTTAAAACAGTACATTCTAAAGCAAAAAGAAACAATACTTTTATTTACACAGGGACACCAAAGTTGATATTAATGGTAGAATTTTTGCTATGGTTAAT